TGTATCCCTCCTAGTTTGAATAAGGTTTAAGTAAATTATCTTAGATGAGATTTAGGATGTATGCAGGCTAGTTAGAATGGTCAAGCATGTTTAGAGACACCAGCATGAGTGAAATGGCTTTCCATTGAGCAGTGCCAGTGTGAGGAACCTGTGATGGTGCTGCTGGTGGCAACCAGCGACTATACAGGCTAAGATTAGGTATTAATCATTAGGTACAATCAGGGTAAGGCCAAGAGTCATATACATCAAGTACCTGGTACCAAACAGTGGAACAGGAGTATTGTCAGAAAGTATAGCCAAAGTTGTTGCCAAATGTAACCGGAACCAAGAGTAAAAACAAGAGCATGGAGAAAGCATGTTGTCAGGCAATACAATAGGGATCAGGGTAGGTGGATCTGTACAAAGTAAGTCAAGGCAACTGGACTTGCTGTACATGGAGCTACACCAGCGTATGGCACAGCATAGAAGAGCAAAACTCTCTGGTCAGAATTCGGCAGTATACCTACATCTAAAGGAAAAAGGTCACTCTTTTGAAGACAGTCAAGTACGCATCCTAGACAGGGAGGAGGACTGGTTTAAAAGAGGTGTGAAAGAGGCCATTTATGTAAAAATGGAGAAGCCAAGCTTGAATAGAGGGGGGGGGGGGTGAAACATCTATTGTCTGCCACATACAATGCTGTTTTAACACCTCTCTCAGGGCAGGTTAATAACACCTCTTAGACTCCAATTATGCAAATGCAATCAACACCTGGTTGCGACTAATGGATTATGTGGATTGGAGCAACATTCACCATATTTATTCCCAGATAATTTTTGTACAAGTCATTCTGAATTGAGAAAGCTGGTTGGATGACCAGTGAAACCTTTTCAAGATAAATCCAGCAAGTCCAGTTGCCTTGACTTATTTTTTACAGATATACCATGACCTGGATGAATGAGATCCTTCATAGACATAGTGGGTAGGTGGAGTATATTTAGGCAAGCCAGATCAGCAGCTAAGGTCAATCTGAAAACAGTAAGAAGTAGTTCCACAGACAGTGGTTTCAGCTGAGAGTATGGAATCATTCAAGACCCATCTAGATACTTTTCTCAGAGAGCAAGACATACAGATGTATAGTTAATCTTAGTAACACACGCACATACACAAAACCACACAGGTTGAACTCAATGGTCCTGCGCCTTTATTCTTGACCTTGACCTTAACTTGACCTTAAAAGGATGCTAAACCAACAGACATGCCTTGGTTTGCACTGACATATGCGCATATAAACAAGATGCTGGAGGGCATAAAAGAAGTGCCAGAGAGCAGTACAATACAGGACGTAAATTTAAGAAAACCAGAACAGAGAAAGCTGAGAGAGCAAATTAAGGAGTATTAGCAGGATGGCACACTGAGGACTGATCTGCAGCCAAATGTAACCGGTACATTCCTGACAGACAAGGTCTAATACATTCCTGACAGTTATAAAGGACAGAAAAGGTCTAATACATTCCTGGTAGTTACAAAGCACAGAAAAGGTCTGCAAAGCTCCCAACTGTTCCTCATTCGGAGCAAAATCCTTCTGTACATCTTTCCATCTCAGTTGTCTCTCTTTTTGGTTCAATGTACAGATATCTATAAAAAATTTACTTTTCAACTGTCAAAACTTTATTCTGCATTCTGCACTAAAACCTTCATCCTATCTCTTAAATATCCTGTTTGCTATTTCAGAAAGCCAGTATAAAGGAAAAGTAATGGTGGAAAAAAATCAATTCTGGGTTTACCCAGTCATTTTTGGCATATACATTCTTAATGGTCCTCATAACTGGGGGCTTGGCACAGGGCGTGTCCATTGCCTAAATACATTGTGCTGGAAGGTGTCCCTCTTTATCATCACAGAAAGTTTACAGGTATGGGTCTAATACATTATTGGCAGTTTAAAGGAAAGAAAAGATTTATTAGAAAATCCTGTAACAGAAATTACAGGAGGAGAAGGGGTTGGCTTTCCTTATTCTGCTCATGTATTTACCTCCTGGTTTAGTATAGAATATAATGTTGTTTTAAACAATACTACTTTCAACAAATTTCCAAGGGTGTGGATTTGTTAGCAGGGGACTGTCATTTTATTAATATACCGTATATTCTTTCCTAGTCTGTTTTTAGATTCTTAATCCTTCTGTCCCATCGTACTCCTGACCGGACAAAAACCCAAAACCAACTGGGTGGGTGCGGTGGTGACAACGGATGCCTCCGTGAAATGTAGATAGATGAAAGTAGTCAATCGCACTCCATGATATTAAAGTCAATGCTGTTTATTGACTGAGATAACACGCAGATGCGGAGATGCGTGTTATCTCAGTCAATAAACAGCATTGACTTTAATATCATGGAGTGCGAGTGACTACTTTCATCTGTTTTTAGATTCTGTCTCTGTGGCCAGTCTGACTTTGCTATTTAAAACAAGTTTACACTGGAGGAGCTTAAATCAGCAGATAATGATTCATTTTACAGTATGATTTATTTTGATACATGAACTGTAAAACGCATAGTGCATTACATTTAATGTCATATTTTATGCACTGTAAGTGTGATCTAATAGGTATTGTCTAGATTAAAAGCATAGTTACAGGAGGCACTAAAGGTACAGTTAACCTTAGTAACTCAAACACACACACACACACACAACCACACACACACACACAACCACACACACACAACCACAAAGGTTGAGCTCGATGAACCTGTGTTTTTATTCAACGTTAACAACTATGCAACTATGTATGTACCTATGTTATACTTCATGTAAAACTGTGCTTCACCTCAAAAAAATTTTACAGAATTTTTAAAAATATTTTTCTAAGGGTTATTGAGTTACATTATTTAGAAAATGCTTGGTCAGAAGCATGATTTATGGTCAAAGCCAAAACATTTGTATTTAGTTTTGCTAAGATTTGGGAGTACAAGTACAGTAAACTCTCTTATCCAGTATTCAGCTAACCGTAACTCCCATCTAACCGGCAAAACAAAAATCCCATGTGTACTCACTGTCCTGCTGATCTGCCACTTTCAGGAGAGGGAGAGAGGGCTCTGGAGCATGGAAAGGTAGTGGAACAGGTTGGAAAGTGCTGGATTAATCTGGGAATGAGTGTCTGAACGATCTCTGAAAAGTGCTGTGAAAAGGGTGTCTGATCAATCGTTTGTGAAGTGCTGTGTTATCCTGTGAACAAGCGCCACCTAGTGAGCACTCCCAGTACTGCAATGTATCGCTAATGGTTTAGAGTACAAAATACTGTTATGGTATAGTGTAGTATGGGGTATAGCATTAGTTAAACCCATTTTTTATGGTAACTCTCAAGCAACCAGAAACTACATTTATCTGGAATCTACCAATCCCCGTGGATGGGAGTTTACTGTATATAGCTGTCAAGCTATTATTGCTGTTTGTGACCCAGTTGTAAAGATTACATCTAATTTCCTATAAAAGTGATGCTGCCCTTAGATTTGCACAGGTGAGGGAACTAGGTTTATATGTAGAAATGGGTTTATATGTAAAAATGGATTTATATGTAGTTGCTTTATTTGGAGGTAACACACAACAAGCTTCACAATATTTGTAAAGTTTGAGACTTGTTTATTGGATTGAAATTGGGTGATACCAGTCGCTGTTTCCAATCAGCTTAAACATGAGCTCTGACACCCCGCCATCGATTTTCATGGTCTTGAATAAAGATCATTCACTTTGGGAAATCGGGTCTGTTGTCTTACAATTGTACCTTCCAATTTCAGTCCGATCCGTTGCGATCCTTTCTTGAATGGATGCTAACGGAAGAGCACTGAAAAAATGAATAGGTGTGAATGGGGCTTATTCACATAACCCAATGCATTACGTTGCGCTGAAAAAAAGTAGTGCATGTTCTACTTTTTTTCAGTGCAATGTAATGTAACACGATGGAATGGTGCGGTGTGAACTAGCCCCATTAATTTTTCCGCTCCCTTCGATTGGCATTCGTTGAAAAATGGATCACATTGCAACGGATCGGGTGTGAATAGGCCCTAATAAACTAATTTTTTTATAGTGTAATATCCTGTGAATGCATCTGATACGATACAGATCAATGTTCTCAAATGTATCTTTAAGATCTTCATGTATCATGTATGTACTTGTACCCTTTTCTCCTTTAATAAACATATTTTTTGATTAAAAACAGAGCTAAGACACTTGGCTGAAATTGGGTTTTATTATGTACATTATTTACATTAATAACATCTAAACAATTGTTTTGAAATGTTTTGCAATTTTGTCCATCTTACATAGTACTACCTGGGTTAGCCTGGAAGCAAGGAGAAATGTTGGTGGTGTGTCAGCTAAGAATAATAAGTTCTTTAAGAGTATCTATGGTCAAAAACTAAATATAAATATATGCTTCTATATTACATTTCTATAAGTTCTATCCCATTCATAACAACCATATCGATCTAGAAGTTTGTAAATTTCCTTTTTGAAGGATGTGGGATGCGCCTCCTCAATACAGTCACACAATTTCACCCACTTCCTTGTGTCACAACTCTTGCAGAGTTTTCCTTCTGAACTACAATTCAATGTCTGAACAATGTAACATTATAACTGCTTGCTGGAGGCAATGCATGATGGGATATGTCATTTTGAGAAATGGAGATTGTGTCATGTCAAGCAGCAGGTGAAGAAATGGAAAGTACACTGGGAATCCAGGAAGTTGTTGAAAGTGATAGACAGGCAGAAGGAAGCACTTCACTACATAAGGGATTTTTTCAAGTAAGCTTTGATTGCATTATCAAAAACAACTATAATATGTATTTCTATAACAATGCTGATGTTATAACAAGATAGTGTGTGATGGGGCTTTAGAACTCCTTTAATAAGGAAGATGTAGATGTTTTTGTCTGGATGCAGCCCTAGACGTACAGCAGCAGCTGAGATCGCCTTTAGCTTTTCCCCTGCTGCACTGCTAAAACTGAGCGAATGATCCTGTATAGCACTTACCAGAGATCACCTCAAGCAACAGCATCAATTTAAGCCCATTTCTGAAATCCTCCTCTATATTTTCAATCTGTGTACCAGCTTTCCTCAGGTGAGAGTTGCACCAGGCTGTGAAGGTCTATAAAGAAAACAAATGAAAGGGATAAGGTATAGTAAGAATGATCCAAATGTAAAGATTTGAATCATTATCAGCTTGAACAATCAAGATATAGATACTTGATGCTCACTATTGAGACTGCAATAGCATTTTTGTTGTTAGGAAAAACATAAATAGCAGTTACATTTGTGTCATTGAAATTCCAAGTGATTTGTAGCTCAGTGGCTGAGCAATTGACTTTTTGCAGCTTTTGGAGCTAGCTACAGAATCATCAGCTTCAGACGCTCCTCATGTTATCTAGTGCAGCAGCCGATAATCATGGTGCACTATTGTATTGCGGCTGCATAGTTAAAAGCATTGTAGTCAGGTACAATAGCAAATGTATATTTGGCTATGCATCGCCACAGAAAACAATCAGAGAGATTTGTAGCTGGTACAAATCTCTACTACAATGTTGCTAGTGTGACCTGACCCTTGTCTCTAATACTACTCACAATGTGTGCAAAACTATTATAGTGTAGCTATTTTAAATTTCCTCAGGAGGCTGATGTTAAAAAAACTTGGTTTTTCAAGGATTTTTAAGGGCTCAAGCACATGATAGTACATTTCCGTAATGCGTACAATACAGTTGTATTTTCTTTGCTGGGTGTGACAGGTGTGGCGTACACCTGCTGCCAGTCAGTCTGCTCACATCAATGGTAGGCGACGGCTGCATGCATATATTTGCAAATGTACATGATTCTGAATGGCTACATGCATACGGGCCCATATGCACCCTGATACTCTGTGTTTAGGAAGGTTATATGGCATTGTACACATGTACCTAATTGGATTCTCATATATTTGAATGCCTGGTATTGGCTTGTCCAGGCTGAGCTGTACGCTGCACCTATCACTCATAGCAAAGAAAATATGGCTGTATTGTATGCTATATGGCCATTCACTGCCATGTGCATGAGCCCGTAGATTTAGGAGAAGTTAGCAAGTTGAACTATTTAGTATCTTCTCTTCTCTAACAGCAATCCTGATTTTTAATGACTACAAAAAAATCAGCATCCCAATATATTTCCCGTGCCAACTTGGTTTTCAAAAGTAAAAGCTCCTCAGCTGTCATCCTTATCCTTGCTATACTACTCAGTGAGCCTGTGATCCAGAACAAGTATGCTTGTCAGAAGTCCAAACTTTACTGCCTGCAAATAACACATTAACTCATATATTTCTGTTCTTACGGCTCCCACTACAGACTGTGCAATACAATATTCTGAATTTGTTGTTGTTATGTTATAGTGGGTGTGGTATCGGTAGATTCTGTGTAATGCATAGCTATACCATATTTGTGCAATTTAAAAAGATAACTGATATAATATTGCTATACATTGCTCCTCTAAAAATCGGGGGTTTTCTTGCACAGGATATATTTATTTGGCACTGATACCTATAGCATATGTAATATTAAAGCACACATTTTTCAATCCAGAAACTATTCCCATCTGAAAAACTAATAGCAACTTTTCCTTTAAGCTCGATATAACCCAAAAACTACCCCACATACTAATCTTTAAACCTAAATTTTTACTTCAACGTAACCCCTAAACCTAACTCTTAACCCCTTTGTAAGCCGAGGTAAGTGAAACTTAGATGCCCAGACCAAATTTATCATCAGTATGCATCAGTTAACTTGGCTATAACTTCATGGCTAATTTGTCAGTTTGACAAACTTCCTAGAACCACTGCAACACTAATTAACATGTATACAGCAGGTGGCATTATGCGTAAGGACCTAAAAGGGTGTATTGCAGTCATGTCAATCTGAACCTAACCTCAGAAGCTAGCCCTTATAAAAATAACTAAATTAGAAAGTAAACATATACAAGTGCCACTTGTACTATTGTTCCAAAAATATTACATGCCTAATCAATTATATTCTGGTATGTGCTAGAATGTCAGTCAAGTATTCAGTTATTTTTGTATGCTGCTGTAAACTTGCACTGGTACACTTTGCATTGCATTTTGTTTAGTTACTTTGCTCACTAACAGACCTGCCTGATATTTAAAGAAGAGATTGTTAAGGCATCTATTATGTCAGATATGTATTTATTCAGTAATTTAGTTGGTGGGATATAGTATTAGAAGATTTTGATTTATTAAAAGAAAGGCTTTTAAAATTGCAGTGTTCTTATGCATAAAAACAGGAGGAATGATGAAGCAGATATGTTTTTAGTAGCAACTACTCAGATGTAAATTTTAAATCTGTAAAATGCTCTGTCTAGAGAAATTACTTCTAGTCATTCACAACTGACAATAACACTTATGCCATACAGCCTATTGCAACATACTGTCACGGCTTCCAGAGAAGACAGCACATAATATATAGGAAGGTGTCAGCTTTATGTCATTATTTTGTGGATTTTGGGGATGTGGTTGAAACAGGGGTTTTTGGAAAATGGTTAATACGTTGTAAAAGCATATGTTAGTTTCTTCATTATGATAGCTGGCCCTGTATATTGCATTGGCGGAGTTTTACTAAGGTAATGTTTTTAGATTCTTGTCTAGGTTTAGCTGGGTGTTTTAAAAATCTTTCAACCAGAAGTGATGTTTCTTTAAGGATTTAATCTGAGGCGTCTGGTCAACTAGACAAATCTGTCAGCTTCCTAGTAAGCTATTTATAGGGTAACGGTATCCTGGAGAGTCCCAAAGAAGGTTTATGGGATGTACACTGTACATCATCTTGGAATGAGAGCTTGGCTATGCCATACCAAATGAACAGACAGGTAGGAGATCCAATTACTGTCTGAAATATGTTGGGGTTACATTTTCTTGAAGTTTTTACAGTAGTGATGCTTTACTTATGACACTGCATACCACATGACACCTTTTCTTCACAACTGACTTGAATAATTTTAATTCACCTCATAAACCATTTCACTGAGCAATACTAGCATGAGTTGTGAAACCATTAATCAAAGAAGAACTTTGAAGGTAGGAATAAACAGAATTTTGTATTACTATAATAATCTTACAAACACAATATACAAAGATATTTACATTTTGCCATCTTTGCCATTACCATACCTGTAGATTATCACCATTGTAACTGAAACATAATTAAACAGAATGGATTACCACTGTTTATCCTGGATTACCCTCTGGATTGGGTTAATGTAATGGGGACAAGGCCCTAGCCATAGCCATTTAAACATGGATAGAAGGACCAAAGTAAAGCATGGATTATATCTTTGGGAGAATCATAATATGCACATTACATTAAAGTGTCCAAGGATCTTTTATTAACATTCTTGTCTACCAAAATGGTAGATCAGATTCAGGGCTGTTACAGGGAACCTGTCAGAAAAGACATATGGCACCTGACCTTTGACACATACTTGTTTCATGTCAGTGACCAAAGATTACAGGCATAGCCACTGCACCTACAAAAACAAGCCAGAAAAATGAGCTTCAATATTTATATCCCGACAGGTACTTTTTAAGGTTCTGACTAGCAACTTGAGGGACTGCGGTCATTTGTCCAAGTGCCATTTTAAGATGGCACCCAGAGTAAGCAGTTATCTCACGTCTCTGCAGCTTGTATCACAGGAACAGCCAGCTGTATGTGACAAGTGAGGCCCAACGCTAAACCCTGGAAATGAAATTATTATCTCCTGGGTTTCTAATCTTTCTACAGAGTGCTTCATAGAACCGTGGTCTGGAAGGGAATGTAAACATGATACATCTGGAGAATGATGAAGTTATGAGTGATGTCACGGGACTTCCTGTCAATATGGAGGCTCAGACAGAGCTTTTGCAGCTCTTTCCATCCCCTCTCTAGAGCAGTTAATGCAGTAAAGCGCATGTGTTCACTTTGAGTTTTACAATTTTTCTAACCTCTTAATTTAAAACAAGCAAAAAAATATGATAAAAGGTATAATGTGCTAAACTGATACATCTCCAAACACATCTGGACCCAAGGGAACTTAACATTCCACCAACATCAATCTTGAATTGTTAATTGTGCATTAAAAGAATTCATGAAACTGTCCGTTAAGATTGTGTCTACAGCGTCATTTAGCAATTTTACATAAATTATTTGATAAGGTTATTCAGTTTTAATTTTACATAAAACTTAAAGTGACACTAAACTCAGGAGTTAAAACTTAAAAATGCATTCAATTACCTTAACTATTAACAATACTGTACCTTATTTATGCATCACTCGGCTGTAGATCCTCAAATCATTTTGTGCATGAATTTGTGCTGAATCTGTCCTTCCTTCTGGTGGGTGGTTACTTTGTTCCTCATGGTCCCTGTGTGTGTTGTAAAGTAGCCACCACTCCAAGTTTGCTCCCGTGATGGACTAAAATCTTAATATAAATGAGTAAACTCAGCTCGAGACTGAAGTCCATCACATGAGCGAGTTTGGAGTGGTGGCTACTTTAAAACACAAACAGGGTCCATGGGGAACAAAGCAGCCCCCCTCCAGCAGAAACGGTCAATGTTAGCAGAAATTTAGAGATGATTTGAGGATCTACAGTTATCACTCAGCTCTACAAATAAGCTAAATTTTGTTAATAGTTAAGGTACTTGAATGCATTTTTAAGTTTTAACTCCTGAGTTTAGTGTCACTTTAAAGCTTACTAATGTAAAGTTCCAATATACTATATGTAGATAGGCTTCAGTAATGTAGAGAGGTAATACAGACCCTTGCAAATGAAATATGTTTAGCAAGGGCAGAAAGGTATCAGCTGACCAATAGAAAACTCCAATAGTTGGAGGCAAAATAAGTCCACAGTTAATATTGAACTCTATTTTCTTCTGGAAATAAAATGTCAATGGGCAGTCCTCTGAAACTCTACTGACGCCGGGAGCAAATTACAGACAGGGAAGTATCAGGTTCTTGCTGCTTGATTGGAAAACACAAAAACTGAGTCAGTTAAGTAAGACTTGATGAGAATTCTGGGTAAGACAGCGAACCCAAAACATGTTTTATTTTTATTTAATTGTATTAATTTAATTTTTTTATACTT